CGTATGTAAACGCTCGTGCTGCACGGGCGAAGCGGCAAAATATCGTGAACAAAGATACTCGTATTGTGTACGTTCGAAACGCTTGTGTTTCGATGTCCAAATGCGTGTGGATCCCGGGTATGGATTCCAAAATGAACAGAAATTTCGGTCTCCCAGATCCGTGATTCAATTCGAAATAATCCTTAAAAATTGTGAAAGACTTGCCACTGATGCTCATGTTTTGCCAAATGATCTTTTGGGATCCTGGACTCTATTGCTAATGTTGACAAACGATGTTTTAAAACACAGGACTTGTATTCATTTTTCTTGGAGGGTTCTTTGGGAAAAGGGTGCGTTTCAAACGTCATTTAAGGGCCATCTTACATCCGTTTTCTACAATGGTGGGCAAATTATAAAATCCCTTTTCTGACATGTTTGTTTGAAATCATTGAAACGCGAACCCTTTTTGGGGTTTATTTAGTTCAACAGCCTTCCTCAACATGCGGAGGTTGCTGCGTGATCTAGTTCAGCCTTGCCCATTTCTACGAGGGATTAGGCACTTTTAGGATTCAGGATCCACTTAGAAATGTTGTCAAGGATATTTATGTAAACGAAAACGAATATTGGATTCTAGGTCAACGTCTGGATGGCAGGTAATCATAGACGTAAGTGTTCTTGTCGCAGATTTTCGATTCGCGGTAGTTTGTAGGTGTACATATCTGTTGCGCACATGCCTTAAACATTGTCCAGGAAGAAAAACCAAAACGCGGTAGCAAAAATCATTCGGATATTGTCAGCAGACCCGTGCGTAGTTTCCACTGCTGGCTCGTGATTCGCAGTGGCTCCCATGTGAAAATGAGACCCTGGATGTTGACTCTCGCTAATTTTTTCAGAAGCAACGGTTCCTGGCTCCTACATCCTGTTGGTTATTTCGTGGACACAGGTCGTAGTTCTCACACGCTCTCACTTAAACAACGAACAACGGCTCCAGGTTTTCATTAGTTATTCCACAGACAGCAGACGCTCGTTTCCTGTCTTTGCTGCTTACTTCATAAACACCAGGCCTTATTGCTGGTTCCCACTAATCCTTTTACAAGCATGACGTCCACTTTCCGGGTTCCCTTTGGTCCTTTCGTTAAGGACATGGCCTGGCTCCTGGCTCCCATGCGTTTTTTTTTTCAAGCACGCCTGCCCGCACGACCTGCGCGCCCCGACGGCGCTATCAGCCACACGGAGCGCCGCTGACGTGCCAGACAAAGGACGGCATGCGCCCAAGATTCCGCCTTGTGCGGCTCATGATTCATGACCATCAGGCTCATGTGTGGCGGCTCACACCACCACACCGGAGCGTTACCAGCTGATGACCACAAGGAAGGGCGCATTGTCGTTGAGAATCAGCGAGATTAGAGAGCACTTATTTATACATAACACCTAATTAGAGCACTATTTAACCCGCCAGCGGCAACAGAACGCATTGAGAGGCCTGCCTCCGCCGGTCAGCCATCCGGAGGGCTGCACTAATCGAATGGACCTCACCGAAGAGGTCTTATCAGTGATCAGCAGCGCAAAGATTGGCCACTCCATTGTGACGGGAAACAAAGGCAGACAAAAAGACGCGTGCTGGTCACAGTCCATGGTCTGTCCATTCATCCGCCCAGGTACGGGCTACATAATCTTTATCCCTGACACTTGGTTCAACCCTCCGATGAGGTCAGCTGAGATGCGCACGAGCACAGCCATTTATGTGCTTGACGGACCCGCGGATCATGCTGGTGTACCTGCGCCCGGCCAGTCGGGAGCATTGCGCAACACGGGCGCGAACGTGGCGTGGCCGCAAGCCTGGACGCCCACCGCACGAAGTGGCCATGGGACCAGACCAGGTGCAGGTACAGGGTGGGGGGGGGGGGGGGGGGTGGGGCAGAGAGAATGTGCCCGCTCCCCGATCGTTCGCAGTCAATGGGTGCAACGAAATTATTTTTGTTTAAACACAGACTGTTCCCCTCCCAACAAGGTGGAGTGCCCACCCCTCTCCGCCATTTTCCCTTGATCCACCCCTGGGCCAAACCAGAAAACAACATTAAGCCTCGCCGCACTGTACGTGATGGTGTGATGCACCAGCCGCATCCGTTTTGAACTGCAGCTGTCGGCGGCCGAGAAAGCGGCTCCATAACACACGGCTTTATTAATGGGCCACGGCAGGCCGTCGGCGATGATGTTCGCAGCTGTATCACAGAGGCGTAACAAACGAGCTTCGGCCTCGCCGTCCGTCAATCCCGCTGCCGAAGAGCTGCGTCACGTGTGTGACTTCGCGTCACTTCAGCTTTCTTAGTCGATGACCGATTCATGAGTTTGAAAGGGACGTGCAGCGACGCATTACGCGCCAACACTAAGGTTTTCTCCGTCGCTTTATAAACCATAGGTGTGAGCTGTGTGGTGACAGGTGATATCGTGAGAACGCGAGTGGTTTGCTCATAGCATCCCCATGAGGTTCTAAAGGCTCGTGGTGCCTAAGGTCGCATAGCAAAAGGAGCAACAACCGCAATACACTTCAACCTGTAATCTGCTGTCAGAGGGGTCCATAAAGCTTCTTTTCCATTCCCATTTGATGACTATGTGGAGCACAGTCCACACTTCAATATTGACGCTGTAACGAACGAAATTCCGACCAGTGAAACACGGCTGATTACAGTGATGTTCTTTGAATTCTTTCACGAGAATCCTCCCTGACCCAACTGATCTGAGCTTTTCTTATCTGGGCTCCCCCATTTTTCGGGGATATTTCACAAATGTGTGAAGTCTTAAGCTAAGGTTATATATATATATATATATATATATATATATATATATATATATATATATATCGGCATAATTAGCAGTTCATGACAACCATGCTCCTGAACCAAAGAACTACTTGATAGATGATAAAAAATAATAAAAATTGTGAATGGTAAAAAATAGCTTGGGCTGAATTGGTCAATAAAAACGTTTATGGAGGCTAAGTTGGAAGACCTCAAATTACCTGAAATCACCGGCAACATGTATCGGCATCTGAATCAGCCATTGCCTCTTTTTGGCGTGCTCTTTTAAGTGAAAGGGAGTTTTTAGACATGGGACGGGGACCACAAGTGATGGAGGCCATCCTGGCGTAATGCTTGTTTTCTCACATGATTGAAAACGGGCTAATGTGATGTGCTGCTTCATAAAACAACAAATTGAAATGACATTGCAGTACGTCTGATATTGCATTTGCTGCTCTTGGCTTGTGGACCTTGGCTTGTAGAAAAAGCTGCATTCCCTCCAATAAGACCTCCCAAGGCGGTGACCCACGACCATCGACGAACGTTCAGGCGTTGCCACGAACGCCACCTATGTGTGATCAGGGGGACTCCCACTCACTCATCACAGATGGCGCTAACATCGTGTTAGAGCCACTCGATTGCCAAGTCCATCATCAATTGATTGAAGTTCATTGGAAACTGACTAACTGATCAGTGACCATGAACCCTCTTGGCTCACGCAGCTATGATACGTAAAACAGTGGCTTACAGAATCTAGCACAAGACGATTAAAACAGAAATGCCCCATAAGAACGTTCTGTCTACATCCAGCTAAAGTAAACCATGGATCACGTTTAAATGTTCATAACGTCCATTCAGCACGTATGATGATTCATTTCTGACGTACTGCTTTCAGATTTCAGTTCTTAAGTGAAATATGCGATTACCATGCTCGCTTGCTGGTTATCTAAACTACGCACTAGCCTTCACAACACATGAAATTGTATTGCTTTGCCACGGAGAAGCGCCTTGCACGAGCCTTGGCACCTATGAATTTCGCTTCTCCTGTAGAAAGTGAGTTATTTGGTGTTGCGGTAAAGCTAAACGTGTCATTGCCTTCGTAGAGTCAAATCTGATCAACAACTCCCTGTGATGTGTCTTCAGACAATGATACGGCATGCGCAACGGCTCGTTCTGGCTGTGGTTCGGGCGACCGCAACCTCCGTCTGCAAGTCTAAATTGCCGACGTCGTGGTCTCCTACGTCACATATAACGAATGACCACGACATTGGCAAATGAATCCCTCTTCTCCCCCAGGAAATGACACCGTATCAGTGGCGTTGTCACTGGGACACAGCCAGCGTCAGCCATAGCTTCGTTCAGCGGCGAACTACCGACCTGGGCTGGCCTGGGCACACAGCTGAGTTGACCTGAGGTGATCCGGACTGACAGCTGACCCGAATTGACATCCGGGCCGGCACCTGAGCTGACCGGCGCTGACAGCTGACCCGGACTGACAGTTGTCCGAGCTGACATCTGACCCGGACTGACAGTTGTCCCGAGCTGACATCTGACCCGGACTGACGTCCCGAGCTGACATCTGACCCGGACTGACAGTGTCCCGAGCTGACATCTGACCCGGACTGACGCTGACCCGAGCTGACATCTGACCCGGACTGAACGTGTCCCGAGCTGACATCTGACCCGGACTGACAGTTGTCCCGAGCTGACATCTGACCCGGACTGACAGTTGTCCCGAGCTGACATCTGACCCGGACTGACAGTTGTCCCGAGCTGACATCTGACCCGGACTGACAGTTGACCCGAGCTGACATCTGACCCGGGCTAACCGGCTGACCCGGACTGACAGTTGTCCCGAGCTGACATCTGACCCGGACGGCTGACCCGGACTGACAGTTGTCCCGAGCTGACATCTGACCCGGACTGACAGTGTCCCGAGCTGACATCTGACCCGGACTGACGTTGTCCCGAGCTGACATCTGACCCGGACTGACGTTCCCGAGCTGACATCTGACCCGGACTGACAGTTGTCCCGAGCTGACATCTGACCCGGACTGACAGTCGTCCCGAGCTGACATCTGACCCGGACTGACGGCTGACCCGGGCTGACATCTGACCCGGGCTAACAGCTGACCCGGGCTGACATCTGATCCAGGTTAACAGCTGACCCAGGCTGACGTTTGACCCGGGCTAGCAGCTGAGACAGCAGCTGAGCTGACCCACCTGGCTGTCGTCGGCGTCGGTGTCTGCTGATGGCGCCGTCTCTAACCGGGACAGCGCGGGCGCCGCGGCCGTCGCCACCGGATCGCTGGGCTGGAGCGGACAGAAGGCAGCGCTCACAGCGGCGACCAGCACAGAGGGAGCGGACGGGAGGCAGCGCTCAGAGCAGCGACCAGCACAGAGGGAGCGGACGGGAGGGCAGCTCGCAGAGCGGTGACCAGCACAGAGGAAGCGGACGGGAGGCAGCGCTCAGGGCAGCGAACAGGACGGAGGGAGCGGATGGGAGGCAGCGCTTAGAGTGGCGCATGACACGGAGGGAGCGGCACACAGCACGGAGAGAGCAGACGGGAGGCAGCGCTCAGAGCTGCGACCAGCACAGAGGGAGCAGACAGGAGGCAACGCCCATTGCAGCGGACAGCACGGAGGGAGCGGATGGGAGGCAGCGCTTAGAGTGGCGCATGACACGGAAGGAGCGGCACACAGCACGGAGGGAGCAGACGGGAGGCAAAGCTCAGAGCGGCACGCGGCATGGACGCGTGCTGCCCCGGCACCATCCCCTGGCCAAACGGCTGTGGCGTCACTCTTCTCAGGAGGCCACTGTATAGGCACAAACACACCCTTCTCTACGGTACAGTATGACATAAGGGTACCGGTCATCAACGGGGGCTGCGGACAGCAGTGAAGGCAGCATGTATTTATGGTCGTGCCGACTCGTGTAAACAGTACGTCTCCGTTGGTAGCGTGCAGGGGAGGGGGGGGGGGGGGCGGGCCCCAACCAAATGCCAGGGCAGTACGGTCCAGATCTCTCATAACGATACAAAACAACGTCTTTCTCTCGACATGACTGATCAGACCATCCCCACCAGCACACTACAGTACACAATACACAGCCCTCTTTGTCTTGCCCTCATGTACTCGAGGTACATCAACACGCTTCGCATGCATGCCGACGGCAACATCACGGCCTCACCATACGGGCCTGCAGTGGGCGGCACCAGGCCTTCTAGACTCACATGAAACCGGCAGCGCTAAACACGCCACCCGCCAGCACAAAGCCGGCGGCGCCCAGCCCGTCCCTCACATGGGACACGCTGCACCGGACCACTCACACACGGCCAACAGACAGCGTCAGAACCGTCACACATTAACATGGAGCCGCCGGCAACAGACCAGTCGCAGACATGCAACAGACAGCGTCAAAACCGTCCACAACGCGCGGATCTCACAGCATCGGAGATGGCCCACACCCGTGCGGGCCGTGCGACGCCCGCGCAGTCTCAGACTCACGCGGAGCCAGCGGCGCACGGCGGCCCCGGCGTCAGCACAGCTGGCCACCAGCCCACACTACTGGCCGGCTACGGCCACGGTCGGCCGGCACGCCCTGATCACGGCCGGTCAGCAGACTGAGCGGCGGCCGCGGTCGGCAGGCCGGCCATTTGCATGCTCGCGCGGAGATGTGCATGCTCCGAACGGGGGGTCGAGTAACGGCCGGCCGGCGCGCCGGGCCGGACCGGACTGGAGCCGGGGCGGGCCCGCCGGCCGGCGGGGGATCAGGCGGCCGCGCCGGACTTGGCCTATTTGCAGAGAAGCGCAAACAGGTTTCATTCTGACCTCGAGGTCGGCTGGCTGCCGTCGCCGTCAATAGATGGCGCTCCGTGTACCATTGGGATTCACGGCGATGTTCAAAATGATTTTCACCGCGCTAGTTGTGGTAAGGAATGACAGATTTATTGAGATGTGTCGTCTAGATTTCTATCGCCACTGCTTTTACATGTTGCATTGCATGCTTAAAGAATTTTTGACATTAACCCCAACAAGATGTCCATAATGCACCAGAAACCACGTTGTCACAAAGGAAGAATCGTTTCGCAGCAATATCCTCAGCACCAGACTTATTCTTCTTCTTCTTTCTTTTCTCCATTTATCCGGGGCAGCCTGCATGCACCAGCCATGAGTGGTCTCGAGTGCCTCCTGGTGGCGGCCCCGTCTGAGCGCTGACCACACACCCCGAAGGATTCAGTGCTGGCTGTGGTCGGCGAGCTGAGTCTCGGGCCAAGTCTCGGCGGATGGATCCCCAGATGCATGTAGTTCTGCCCCATCGTTGTTCATTCTCATTCATCTCATAGTCTAGAAATGGTCATGACAGGCCGAAAGGGCTTTAATCCAAACAACATAACAAAAACTAATCTCCGCTAGATATCTTCGTGTGACGTGAAGACATCCCGAACACTTTCAGCTCGTCAGCGCCTGGCTTGATATACGGTCCCAGATCTCTCAAATTCCACTCGGCGGCCTGCCTGAATTCAATGAAATGTATCAAATGATGTCTTCAGTAAAAGGACAAGAGAGACGGGGACGTAGCAAGTGACGCGTGGATGTGCTACATTTCCGAGATTCGGGTGGACAATAAGAGCTTGCGCTGCGGGGGGGGGGAGACCGTCATAATTTCAGAGTGGTTTCAGCAGCCGGCAAGTGGGCAGACCTGATGATGACCTAACCTGATGATGATCTGATGATGCTGATGCAAAAGGTGCTTAGTTTGAGAACGGCACTGATGGGATGAAAGCTCGTTTTGCAAAACTGGACGGAAATATGTCCTTCCAGTCACCGGCTTTAGTTAGGTCACCCAAGCTGGGCAAGCTATCAACCATTCCCGTGTTTATGACACATGCATTTCATTTTTACGAGCATGGGCGAAAAGATGACCCAATGCTCAAATGTAGCCTTATCTAGTTCGTTAGATCACCGCGTCTGTGTTTTGTCTTGTTCCTTGTAGCTTGAACATCACTGCCTCTGCCATACCTTCTCTTGGCAGCCCTCCAGCTCCAGGATTCGAAACTCCATGAGCTCGTTGGCGTCGCGCAGCTCCTGCAGTTCGTTCTCAGCCCTGAGCTCGCGCGCCCGGCTCCGGCGCAGCTGCTGGGTCAGGCACAGGTTCTGCGCCGTCAGGAGGCTCTTCTCCTGCAGCGACGACGGGTCGACGCCCTTGCTGGCCAGCGCCGCCTCCAGGTCACGCACCAGCGACTGGAACCACAGGCAGCCGTGTCGGCGCGGGGTCGCTCGGATGGAAATCGGTCGTCCAGTCCTGACGTACACCTGCCTCGCGCCACCGAAGCCCGAAGGGACAGCGGGAGTAGGGACGGGCAGTGATGACGACCAAGCAGGCAGCAGGAGCAGGGGCGGGCGGTGGTGACGACTGGGCACGAGCAGGAGCAGGGGCTAACAGTGGGAGCAGGGCGGATGGTGGTGACGGCCGCGCAGGAGCGGGAGCAGGGGTGGGCAGGGGTGGGCGGTGGTGACGGTCGAGCAGAAAGCGGGAGCGGGGCTGGCAGCGGGAGCAGGGGCGGGCAGTCGGAGCAGGTGTGGGCGGTGGCGACGGCCGAGCAGAAAGCGGGAGCAAGGGCTGGCAATGGGAACAGGGCGGCACCGGTGACAGCGGAGCATGCCAGGCTCAGCGGCAGGACCGGACATCCGGCTAAGATGAGCCAAACCGACCACACACACCGGCCAGTTATTGTCATTGCAGGTTAGACAACACATTCTCCATTACAAACATGGCTAGCCCGACCTGAACGGTTATCTGATTACTGCTGAGGTCACCACGTATGCGTGTCCTTTAGGGATAAATGACAGACGACGACAAAACCCTGGAAAATAAGTATAAGCCATATGTAAGCTAAGCACGACAAAACACCACGAAGCAAACCAGGTTCACAGCGTTACAGAGTTCATGCTTTGCGCTGTCTAAATAATGGCGTATGAAACGTATTTATCATGGCGTATGTATCTCGGACGGCTTTGTACGACCACCGAGGCTATCTTCCTTCACGTGTAAAACGTCTAGCATTGTCTAATCTCTCCGACCTGGGCCGCTCAAGCCTTTGATAGTCGCTATCTGTTTGGGCAGATATGGCCAGAGGCCTGACGGTTTCTGTAAGCCAGTACAACGCAAACAGCATCGAATACGTGGCACCAAGGCAGCTCACTAAGCCGTAACTGGAAAACGCTAGCGAATAAGCATTGAACTAAACACAAAAACCGCCGGCGACCTTGTTAGCAGCGCATACAAAATATAAATTTGTCAGCCAAAGTTTACGCAAAACAATGTGCGTTTAAGTCGAGCAAACGGCAAAAGCTGTGTTCGTGCAAACAACGAGGAAACTAGTTACGTCCAAGGCTGAGTGACTGGCCCACTGACGGGCGTCGCCGTCTGCCTGTCCGTCACCATCTCGTGCCTCGAGCTCAGGCTGCTCCTGTAGGCGGCACACCTTCGGCTACCGGCTCGCCCAGCGTTCTTATACCCACCGCCCACGGACCCGTGAGCGGAGTCGGTCAACGATCTTACACCCACCGCCCACAGACCCATGACCGGGGTCGGTCAACGTTCTCACAACCACCCCCATACCGAGCCGTGACCGGGGTCGGTCAACGTCCTCGCACGCACCCCACACAGGCCCGTGACGGGGACCGGTCAACGTTCTTACACCCCCCCCCCCCACAGACCCATGACCGGGGTCGGTCAACGTTCTCACACCCACCCCACACAGACCCATGGCCGGGGTCGGTCAACGTTCTCACAACCACCCCCACACCGAGCCGTCACCGGGGTCGTTCAACGTTCTCACACCCACCCAACACAGGCCCGTGACCGGGGCTGGTCAACGTTCTCACATCCACCCCGCACAGACCCTGAGAGGGGTCGGGCAACGTTCTCCCCCCCCCCCTCCCCTCCCACACTGACAGATCCGTGACCGGGGTCGGTAATCCTCAGCGCTGAGCCGAGGAGCTCGCGTTAGTCTGCTGCCGGCCCGGCCTTTTGCTTCATCCGTCATAACCGTTGGCAAGTTCCATGACCGGCACTAACCCGCGTACAACAGATACCGGCGTAGGCCAGCGGTAAGTTGCGACCAGGGCCTGGCTGCAGCATGTATCTCGGATTTCCAGGCCGTTCCCACGCGACACTGTCTCACAGTTGGCGCGGGGCCATGGCGTGCCTCGCCAGGGCGGGGCCGCCAGGCCACGGGCAGGCCCATTGAGTGAGCCGCTACTCAAATACCACAGGACAGTAATGAGCCGGCGCCGCGACGGCCGGGTAATGCCACATCGCGGCAGGTCCGTCACGTGACGCACCACGCCGCTCGGAGCGTGAAATAAACTGTGATCGGTTTGAATAACAATGTTTCTCATATGATGGAACCAATCACCACACGACATGAGGGCATGACGGCCCAGCACTGACACAATCATCTCCTGAAGGATCCTTAATGAGCGCTTCACATGCGGCTATTACATATCAATCAGCATGGCCGGGTATATGAGCTCACGGACCAGGCCGAGGAGTTTCCCCCGGGCTCCCGTCGCCGCTCGCTCCACCCGCTGTCCAGGGGTGGCGTCGGTCGCCCAGCGAGGCCCATTAACCCACAACCCGGCTCGTTAGCGGTGACAGGAGCAGGACCGACCTGCGATGCGAGCAGCTCGTTCTCGACGCGTGACCTGGTGCGGCCGGTACGGCTCGACTCCCGGGCCTGCGCCACCAGCAGGTCGTGCGCCTGGCGCAGCTGCTGGTGCGCCCTCTGCAGCTGGCAGCACAGCCGCTGCAGCTCCTGCCGGCTCAGCTGGCGACAGAGCCCGCCGTCAGACATGCGCCGCGCTCAGGTCAGACAAGCGCGGCGCTTGGGTCAGACATGCGCCGCGCTCAGGTCAGACAAGCGCGGCACTTAGGTCAGACATGCGCCGCGCTCAGGTCAGACAAGCGCGGCACTTAGGTCAGACATGCCCCGCGCTCAGGTCAGACAAGCGCGGCGCTTAGGTCAGACATGCGCCGCGTTCAGGTCAGACAAGCGCGGCGCTTAGGTCAGACATGCGCCGCGCTCAGGTCAGACAAGCGCGGCACTTAGGTCAGACATGCGCCGCGCTCAGGTCAGACAAGCGCGGCGCTCAGGTCAGACATGCGTCGCGCCCAGGTCAGACAAGCGCGACGCTTAGGTCGACGGATCGCACCGCCGAGAGCGGCGTCCATTCGCCAGGCGATCCGGTATTATCGGCTCATCAGCTGATTTACGAAGCCATACCGGAGGTCGCTGCTGGCGGAGATTCGGGGCATGTGGGCACGCTCATGGACGGCGAACTGGCCGTGGCCGGTCTCACCGGCGGCGGCGGCGCCTGTCAGCCGGCCTCGACACACGCCAGCAAAACAGACCGCAACACTGCACATGTTATGCACCGGCTGCCGGTGTACCGACCGGCACAAACAACCCCTCAATTGGGGCTGAATCGATAGCTGACCGACAACTCACCTCGGTAGGTGCCATGTAGGTCACACACCCCGAACGACACCCAGCAGTGGAATCAACGCATCGTGGTGCATGGGAAACGGAAGGAGGAGAGAGCAAGCAGCCACTGGTCTCACCTCGGCCAGGTCCGACGGCTTGATGTCAGAGACGTCCGAGCCATGCTCGGTGACGGCGGTGACGGGGTCCTCCAGCGAGTCGTAGCGCTCGCCCTCCCTCAATGTCGGCAGGCCACTCATCTGACGCGTAGACGGAGGATCAGAGCACAGCCGCCGCGCCGCCACACAGTCATGCCATGGGCCAACGCAGCGGACGGGGTCATAGGACAGAGGATCAGAGCACAGCCACCGCACCGTCACACAGGCATGCCATGGGCCAACGCAGCGGGCGGTGTCAGGGACAGAGGATCAGAGCACAGCCACCGCGCCGCCACACAGTCATGCCATGGGCCAACGCAGCGGACGGGGTCAGAGGACAGAGGATCAGAGCACAGCCACCGCGCCGCCACACAGTCATGCCATGGGCCAACGCAGCGGACGGGGTCATAGGACAGAGGATCAGAGCACAGGCACCGCGCCGCCACACAGTCATGCCATGGGCCAACGCAGCGGACGGGGTCAGAGGACAGAGGATCAGAGCACAGCCGTCACACCACCATACAGTCATCCCATGGGTTAACACAGCGGACGGGGTTCACGTGATAAGATATTTGAAATGCAATGCGAATGCAGCGCATTGTTTTTGTTTTTTCCCTTGCCTAAGTAAAGCAGTTGCGGTTTCCGGATGTCGAGTCTTTGACCTAATAAAAACATATTTAATAGTCGCTGGGCCTCTGACTCCAGTCTAGTGATCGCATCAGATGACAATCTGACCGCTTTGACGCTGTTTTAGAGAGAAACAGAAGAAGCCCAACTTGCCCAAAAGTGGCTGGTGTCAGGACACCAGTGGTGTCAGTGACTGCTACGCCCATGTGTTCATCAACTTTTCTGCGACCTTCCATGCGTCACAATATGTAGTACCAATAGAGAATTTCTGAAAATTGGCCGCTGAGATAAGCAATGCCGCAATGCACGCATGTACCGGCTCAATCCCTGGAGAGCCTGTCAGCGATGAGATCAGGTGAGATGGCCGCCAGACCCGGCGAGCAGTGGGCGGAGCTCCGCTACCACACCAGCCCGCGGCACAGGCCCCGCCCTACGGGGTAGCGGCGGTGCTGGCACCACCGCAGGGGCACGCCGTCAGCAGGCGGCCGAGCGCCCGCAGCCTCACGGCGGAATCTGGCCCTGGCGCCGCCGTCACTTCACGGGAAGTGGGCCAGGCCATTGCATGTCACCGACTCATGCATAAGCCAGCGTGGCGAGCGCGCGCGCGCGCCGGCGGGCCGGTCTGTGTCCGGCAGCGGTCCCCTCCCACGCGAGCCGGCGCGTGGCCACGGCGGCGGTCAGTGGGACGCGCCGCCGGCACGGGTCAGGCAGTGGGACGGGCCGCCGCCGGCCGCCGCCGCCGCCGCCGCCGACGCGCAGCGGGTCGGTTGGCGGGCGCGGCCCGGCCGGAGCGCCGGCTGGCTGGCGCGCACGCGCGCGACCAATGAAGCGTGCAGCTCAGAGAGAAGCCGCGGGATGTCAAGAAAAAAGGGGGAAAGGGTGGAAGAGAGGGCAGGGAGAAGAGAGAGATATTAGAGAGAGAGAGAGAGAGAGGTAGAGAGAAGAGAGAGAGAGAGAGAGAGAGAGAGAGAAGAGATAGGTAGAGAGAGAGTGAGAGAGAGAGAGAGAGAGAGAGAGAGAGGGGTGGATAGAGAAGAGAGAGAGAGAGGAGGGAGAGAGTTAATAGAGGGACAGAAGCCTCTTCGCTGCTGTCCAATGCATGACACGAATCGAACGGCCGCTGAGCTGCGGAACTCGCGTGACACGGAAATCGAAAAAGAGACGCAGCGTCATTATTTGGCCTGATGCCCTCAACCCCGCGGGACGACAAACGCGGGTGTTCTGGCTTCAGTCGACGCGCGTAATCTATGGCTGCTACGAAGCTGAAGGCCCGACCTTCTGGTCTCCTCCAAATGCCTGACACTTGGTTCGACGACGTCTATTTAAACCCCAGCGCAGAGTGGGTAGCAAAGGAGCGATGCACCTCGAACAAAGGGACCTCTACCATTCGTCACTCTTCGTTCGATTACTTCGCATGCCAAGGTCCCGGCCCCTTGTTCGGTTGGCTGGAATGGTAAATGGTCGTTTGAGATTCAGCTAGGGGAAAGTCTACCCACCTGACTAGCTAGTTTGGTTGCAGGTCTGATAGCGTTTCGCACGAAATACCAAGTTTTCGACAAAGGAAGAGAATGACATCACAAAGGGTGAGCGTAACAAGCATCCATTCGTGCTGTGCAGATATCCATTGCTGTAACTCCGGTCTTTCACTATGTCAGTCTGGACATAGATCCGCATCAAGAAGATAATTAGGCACTGAAGATAGTTGTGGGACTTAGAGAGATCAACTCATGGAGGCATCGGCCAATGCTGAAAACAATCTGAAATCACCAAAGCCCTTCCTGGCGTGACAATAAGCACGGTGCTTAAAGGTGATTACGTGCTCGTTTCTCATGAAACCGAGCTGGAAGGCAGCGACCCCATTCACTCTGTGAACCGAGACCTGGCGGTCTCCCGCGCGCCACCCCTCGACCAAACCTCGCCGAGACACCTGTCGGAATGAGCAGGCCCACACGGCTCCGAATGAATGTGTGTGGCATAAACCCATTACTCGGTCGATGCAGTCCCTATCTGGGTCACGGGTCACCCGCTCGGCGGCTGTCTCGGCCGCGCCGTCTGGAGATCGATGCAGGGTTCAGGGCCGTGCACGGTCTGTGCTCGGCGCCGGACCACCTGCGCCCGTCACGAGCTCGGCAGTCCGGAGCACGCGACCGGCTCAGCGCCGGCCGGGCCGCGCTCGCAGCGAGCGCCGGCATCAGCTGACGGGCCGATGCCAGCGCAGCTTCCGTCGCTGGAGCCGCGTCAGGGCTGACCGTGCGACGACGGCCCGTTTTTCCACCGCCATTAGGCGGTCCGTCCGGCAGGACCTTGGACGCCGAGTCATTACCATGATCCGCGGGCACGCGGGGTCAGTAAAAACGTCCCGATCCGCGACCGACGCTACAACGCACTCAGGCGAGCTCGGCCACAGAGCGGCGGCGGCGGCGGGGGCACCTGTGGAGCCGCTGCGATCGATGCCGCCGAGACGCGCCGCCGCCTCCGGTACGGCGCCACCCAATGAAAGGCTGACACTGGTGACTAGTGACTCACCACTGGTGACAGCCGCCGTCACGGCCGACGGCACGGCGGCCGAGCCGGTCACGAGACGGCCGGACCGGTCACGAGACGGCCGGAGTCCGGCCGGCACGGAGTCCGCTCCAGGCGGCAGGGTGGCGTCCAGGGGTCGTGCGGGAGCCGGGCCGGCTGCAGAGCCACGCCCCTCGGCACTGGCGCCAGCGAAAGTGACTTGGTGGCCGCTCAGGCACGACGGCCCTCCATTCCAGCTGGTGCCACACAGTTCGGCTCAACCAATTGGCTCTCAGCTGGTGCCGTACAGTCAAGTTAAACCAATTGGCTCTACCTGACCGACACGGCCAGCACAAGACGTGGCTTGTCACCTTAGCCAACCACATTCGTTACCCAGGATCAGATTGTGGCCCGTCGTTTCTCTCGGCTCGACTTGTTAGAATTAACAACCTGAGATCGTGGGTCTTCGTGTCTCCAGGCCACGACTGCTTCCCATTAACAAGCTCCGATCGTGGCTGGTCTCTTTTGCTCGGACGAAGCCCGTTACCATCAGGAGGAGCGTGAGTCGGCACGGCGGCCGACCCGGCCCGCCGCCCCGCTCCTGATGCGGTTTGTCACGGCTGTCAGCGGCGCAGCAGCGGAGCCCTCCACCGCCACGCCGTCACAAACGGGTCGATAATGGAGCTCCGCCACTCAGCGGGCGGTGGGCAGGTCGAGCTAGCTCCGGTAGCGGTCGACGGCGGGTCGAGCTCCGATAGCGAGCAGCGGCGGGCCGAGCTCCGATAGCGAGCAGCGGCGGGGCCGGGCTCCGATAGCGAGCAGCGGCGGGCCGAGCTCTGATAGCGGGCAGCGGCGGACCGCACTCCAGCAGCGGACAGCGGCGGACCGAGCTCCAGCAGCGGATAGTGGTGGACCGAGCTCCAGCAGCGGATAGTGGTGGACCGAGCTCCAGCAGGCCGAGCCCCGACCTCCTCCCAGAGCGCGCGGGCCGTAATCGGGCCCTGATCGAAGTGGACCAGCGCGCGGGCCGCCCGCTGCGGCCGGCAGCTGCCGCGTCCGATCGCGCCACTCGGCCCGTTCTCGGCCCCAGAGCATAATCGAATGCGAGGCGCGTTCGATCGGAACACGCGGCTGGCCAGGCGCCATGCCATTTGGCCGGCGATTTGATGGCTATTTAAAATGCCGATCTCGGTTAACATCTGGGACTAAAGGATGTAAGGCCGCCAAAAGGAGAGAGGTCTGCGACCGGTTATAGTGCGATCGATTAAAAACTGCTAAGTCTATCGATGCAGTCTTTAACGGTGAGATATTACTTTTTTGTCGCGTACCTGGGCACATGAGGTCTGTGCAAAAGCACATAAAGACGGACATTTACCTGGAGCACCTCTCCCCAAAAAGACAACTAAGATCTCATTCCTGGCACTCAGGCCCAGGTCTGACTGACGACACATGGAAGGGAACACGCGACCCGCTCGATATTCAATGTTCCGATGACGGCACAGGGAGCCAGAAAGCCCCATGCGGGTGAACGCGCACCACCCACATGACGCCATACGCTGCACCCAACGGCAGGCGACTGGCGCGCTGCCGGCTGCTGCCTCACCTTGCCCTGCAGCAGCCGGTGTGGTCTGGTGGCTGCCGGGTGTCCTGGCCGCGCCGTGCCGACCTGCGAAGGAGGCAGGCCGCTGCCTCAGTCGAGCTCGCGCCACCGCCAGCCGGCGAGCGGCAGCGCCGCGCGTCGCTCCGATACGGGGCCGAGCAGCGTGCTACCTCGGCCGCTCGGTCGGATCGAGGTCCACCGCGGAACGGGGTGCGCGATAGGGCGAGTGATACGTGTATCCGAGGCGGGTCGGATAGCGTCACAGCGTTGTGCTCGCGGGTCGCTGACAGGCAAACATTCCTGACATAGAAGCGGTCAAAGGAGGAATTGTGTGCCCACTTGTGGCTCTTCTCTCGACCCTAGCAGGCTGTTGTTCCCGTGGACCTATGGTGACACAGCAAGACTGGCACAACAACGCAGAAACCCGGCGGGGCCGGCCGTCGGCCAGCGAGGCGCGACACAGACCGCCGGCCTGCCAGGCGGGTCAGCGGGACAGGCCGTCGGCCAGCGAGGCTGCGACAAGCCGCCGGCCTGTCAGACGGGTCGCGGGATAGGCCGTCGGCCAGCGAGGGCGCGACAGGCCGCCGGCCTGCCAGGCGGGTCAGCGGGACAGGCCGTCGGTCGGCGAGACGCGACAAGCCGTCGGCCTGCCAGGCGGGTCAGCGGGACAGGCCGTTGGTCGGCGAGGCGCGACAAGCTGCCGGCCTGCCAGGCGGGTCAGCGGGACAGGCCAGTCGGCCAGCGAGGCGCGACAGGCCGCCGGCCTGCCAGACGGACCAGCGGGACAGGCCGTCGGTCGGCGAGGCGCGACAAGCCGCCGGCCTGCCAGGCGGGTCAGCGGGATAGGCCGTCGACCAGCGAGGCGCGACAAGCCGTCGGCCTGCCAGGCGGGTCAGCGGGACAGGCCGTCGGCCAGCGAGGCGCGACAAGCCGCCGGCCTGCCAGGCGGGTCAGCGGGATAGGCCGTCGGCCAGCGAGGCACGACAAGCCGTCGGCCTGCCAGGCGGGTCAGCGGGACAGGCCGTCGGCCAGCGAGGCGCGACAAGCCGCCGGCCTGCCAGGCGGGTCAGCGGGATAGGCCGTCAGCCGGCGCGACACAGCAGACAAACAGAGGAAGCCATATTGAACCAGGACAAACAACAACTGCAAATAACAGCACTTTCAATAACCTTTTCCTTATGCCAGTGTTATTTTCTGCCGTTACGATAGCACTGTACATTAGGCTTCCCATGTAAAACTGGGACGGCATTTTAGTTGAAATAATCATTTGGCTCACTGTATAAACCCTCTTTTCGGCTCAATGCCGCCATTTTTGGGAGCCAAATGGCCACGGCCCACCTGTGCGGCACGTGACGCGGTGTTCGCCGTCAGCCACGTTAGCCGCGCTCACCTGTGTCGTCTCCCGCAGCTGCGCGATGCATTTCTGCAGCTCGTCCACCTTGCGTTTCAGCTGCGTCACCTCGGCCGAGTCCGACAAGGGAGGCGCAGCCTTGCGACGCTTCAGAGCGGCACTGGCTCGAGCTGGCGGCTTCTGCAACTGTCAGACGCCAATGGAAATAATCAGATGTTCCGTCTACAGGAGTGCTAATGCAAAGTCGTTGTTACTGATAAATTATGTCAATAATCTAGATACCCTGCACAGATGAAGCAAATTGCTAACTTGATGTAAGAAGGCCGTTGCCTTCCAGTGTTTTGGAATTACGAGTTCAAAAACCTTGAAAATAGGATAGGGCATTTTTAATTGCTACGAACATTCAGCAGCTAAGCTCGCCTATTTGGCACGATGTATGAGTCATATGACAATTGTTAAAACCAACGCCTGCAGAAAGAAAACATTTCCAGTTAAAACAACCTTCGATAAAACTCTGGCTACCTAATCTATCGGGGCCACCTAACGTGACATCTCCTTGATTGCAAAACAATCATGCCGTAGGCTTTCGTGAAGATGAAACATGACTCGGCAGGCAAGAGAACGCATGATATAAGTTGGCCAAGTGGCAAGGGCTATGGAGGTGTGTGGGCATATATGCATAAGCCACCCGTGCTCTGCCCAGATCGTCGTTTATTGGTGGAAAATCCCGACACAAAAGGTAAGTGAGGTTTTTATACCGACTGAGTCATTTTAGGGACAGCCTTTCTGTGGGCCGCTTGGTCATGAACACATCCGAAACAACTTGAATGCACATGTCGTGAACCGACGCTGTTGTGATCTTTAACGAGCGGTCTCATAGCCCGTCATGTTCCACGCCAAAACAAGTCTGTTTTCATGATAATAACACCTTGGTGCCGTCATCATTTCTTAATGGTTCTTTGCAAATCCGAAGTTTATTTTCATCGCCGTCATGCGAACAAAAAGCGTCAACTGGGCATCACGATAGTGCCGCGTCATGCACCATTTGTCGCGCACGAGCTACCCATCGACTGCCCCGCGGCGCGCGTGCACGCTTTCTAGCCATGCCTGCTACCGATCTACGGTCGACAGATGCCCTGGTGCCGGCATGTTAGCCTATGCCGACAGATGCCCTAGTGTCGGCCGGCGTAGCGTATACCGACGGAGGCCCTGGTGCCGGCATGCTAGCCTATGCCGACAGATGCCCTAGTGTCGGCCGGCGTAGCGTATATCGACGGAGGGCCCTGGCGCCGAACTGTATACGTAGGGTAATTTGGGTGCCTGATTGTGTACCGCATGCCGACAGGGCCCTCGTGCCGGTCTACACACGCCGAAAGACGTCCTGGCACCTTCCTTGAAGCTGCCGGGAACTCTGGTGCCGACAGGTATGTCGACAAGAATCTAGTGCAAGCCCAGTGCAAGCCATACCAACAGGGAATCTGGGCGAGTCTCTCTACTGACGCAGAACCTGGTGCCGGTCCGTTCACAACAGAGACCCTGGTATCAGTTTCTGCACGACAGAGGCCCTGGTGCCGGTCCATACATAACAGAGGTGTTAATTCCGGCTCAGACACAACAAAGTCCCTGGTACTGTCTTGTAAACGACAAAGGCCCCGGTGCCGCTTTGTACATGACAAGACCCCGGCACCGACCCGTACATGAAAGAAGCCCTGTTACCAACCCGTTCATGACAGAGGCCCTGGTGCTGACCAGCACACGACAAAAGCCTTGATGTCGGTTAGTACTCGGCCCGAGGCCCTGGTTCAGGCCGGGTACTCAGGAAGGGGCCGGTATAGTCTGGTGCCGGCCCAGACTCGACAGGGACCCTGGTGCCAACCTTACCCCGACAGAGGCCCTGGTGCGAATCCATGCTTTGACAGAAGCCGTAATGTAGGCCTATGTACCGCCAGAGGCCCTATTGAAGGCTCGTGCACCATCAGGGGGCCTGATGCAGGCCTGGGTATCACGACAGGGTACCGATGCAGGCCTGTTTACCGCCAAAGGTTCAGATGCAAGCCAGTGTACCACCAGAGGTAATGAAAAAGACTGTGTACCACCGGAGGTCGCGGTGCTCGCCGCCGTCCAGCCCCGCTCCGCCGGCGAGCGCGGCGGAGCACCCGCCCAGCTGCTGGGCGCGGCCGGAGCCCGCAGAGCGGGCTCCGGACGCAGCCTGGACGCAGCGGGCGCCGTTCGGTGGCGGTGACCCGGCGGCGGCGATCGGTGCTGTTCGGGCGCGCGAGTCCCGGCCAGGACTGGCCATTCATTGGGCCGCCTGAGAGGCCGGAATTCCCGACCGCCCGCCAGGCGGGCCGGACCCGGACACGTCCCCAGCAGTTGGACACAGACGCACACAGGTCAGCTTGGCCGGACGCATTCCTAGCATGCTATGCGGATGAACAGCCATCGGACCCAAAAGCCGGGGAAATCATCGGTAACGCGTTTGCGGGTGGATGTGGTGACATCTGTGACCTAACAAGACGATGAGCTTTGTGTTGATTATAATCAACCCAAGAGCATCATTATATTAGCGGCCATGACCATTGCGGCATTATCATGCGAGCATCGCGCTAATGTGCTGTCATATAGATTTAGGCACACTTCCGGGCCACAGCGATGGTCGGGTCATCATTTCTGGGTGCACACGACAGGGAGGGCTCAGCCTCCTGCGGCGGCCGGAGCTGGGCAGCGCTGCTGGTCCAGGCCACCATCGACCGGTACGGGACGGGCTGTCGGCCCGACGCCTGGCCCGGACGCCTCGCATTCCCCGCATTCACAGCCGGCCGGTGTCAGCCGAGACGGGCCCAGTCCGGCACCGAGGGGAGTCGCCCGACCGGCCGAGGCACGCGCCTGGCAGGGCGCCGACGCTGGGGACAGGGCCGGCCGCGGGGGCCTGATCATTACCCCGGGACACTGACCATTGCCCCCGGGACACCGATCACAGCCCTGGGGCACTTTCGCCAGTCCCGGGACACTGACCACAGCCCCCCGGGACACCGACCGCCGCTCCCGGGACATCGGTCGCAGATCTGATCACGTGTCGTGCCGCCGGCGGGTCGGACGGACGACATCGTCCGAGGCGGCGGTCGACGGGGTACGGGGAGGGGAGACGCACGACCTGCGGAGGTCACCTGGGGCGCCTGTCAAGTAGCGCAGTCCGCCGAATGATGCAGCAACATAGCGAAAACAGCCCGGCAGAGTGGCACAGCGGGCAGAGGGACACGGCTGCCGGGGTGACGCAGCTCACGGGCGAGGCTGGCTGACGTAACAGTGACCTTTCGTGGCTCCAAGCCGCTGACCGCCGCGGACGCCCCACGGCTTTGCACAATGGCACTCGTGCGCATACTGGGCTCTTTAAAAGCGCGCTGGCTATGGCGCGGTCAGGCGGGATTCGTCCAGCGCGCCGTGACTTACTGAGTACAGCAGTAGTTCTGCGTATTGCCAGCCGCTCGCCGAGTAAAGCCCCCCGGACCAGCTCACCATCCCAGCAAACATCGACGCTAGATTACGCCATTCACGCCCACGTATGCTAACGTCTACGTCGTGATCGCATGAGCCGGCTAACCCCATGAGCCCGAGCGAAGATGAAGCTGTGAATTGCCGCTGGGGTGAGCGGCGCGCCGCCTCCTCACTGCCTGAGGCCTTGTCGCAAGGCGCGCACCGCCGTCAATGGAGGATAATGACCCTCGACAGCTGATGACGGCTATCAGAAGGCTGACAATGTCCGTGACAAGGGCAGTGTACATTCACCGATCTCGGAACCACATCGGCAATTTGGGCAATTGTTCACATAATCATGAAATGAAACAAGCACTGAATGTTTACAAATGCACTGGGTCATCGTCATTTTCAGTCATTGGTGAAATGAATTTGTTCCCGGCAAAACAACGGCGGAGCGGTAAAAGCTAGTCAAAATCGCAGCTTTTGTAATGAAACTGGCCACTGTGTGATATCCGTTTACGCTCTGTTTAGCCCGCTAGTAACGTTGGTTACAGACAGTCTACCGATAGGCTAAACAACAGACACACCGCAAACCGTCTCGGAATGCCCCAGGTACATACAAACGGTGTACTCCACTGGGTATTAATGCGTACTCGCAGACTCTCGTTTGTCATAAACACCCAGACATGAACTGAACGGCATGCATATCGACCACGCACAAAAGCAGCCCTGCTCTCTTACACCCTCCCGGCACAGCACCACACCAGCCCCGTCTCGGCTTACACCTCCCGGCACAGCACCACACCAGCCGACGCGGCTCGTTTCTGAACTCAGTCCTCCGCTGGTAACGACGCAGCCAGGCTCGCGCGGGCCGGCATTCGACAGTGGGCACTCACACTTGCCCGGAATCTTCGACTGGTAGGCAGCCTGCAGGGCATAGCGCCCCATCTGGCGGCCCTGGGCGCCTCCGCGCAGCCCTCGGCACCACCCCCCGCCAGCACGCGCGCCACTCTGCAGACGGCCGGGCGGCGGCCGCCGCTGCCGGCGTCGGCAGGGCGCACCGAGCCGATCCGCGGGCGTGGCCCTCCGGCCGGCCGGCCGGCCCGCGTTCCCAGGGCTGTCGACCGACCCGCGCGGTGGACACGGTCCGACGGCCGGCGGCCCCCGCCAGCGCTGTGCCCGGCGGGCGGCCGCCGCCGCCGCCTGCCGGCGCCTGGTCGGCTCAGGGCACCGCCCGTCGCCTCTGCAGCTGCTGCGGCGGCTGGCGTGGGGGGGGGGGGGGGCGGGCGCTGGCCGCTCGGGCCAGCGACGCGGCTTACCTGCACCGACCCAGCGGACGGGCCATGTCCGGACGTCCAACAACCGTGACGCAGCGGTATCGACACGGCTCGGGGGGCGGCCAGCACACCGATGCCGGAGTTTGCGAGCCCCACGTGACACGCACGTGCACTGGTCAAGCTGGCTGTCGCCGTGTCTCAAACCTGGCTGACGACCGTGACCGGAGCGTGCTGACCGGAGCGGTACAGCAGCCGCAGAGCACACCCGCACCCACAGCGCACACTCGCACCCGCTCAGCACACGCGCACCCGCACCCACAGCGCACCCAAGCCCGCACCGCACACCCGCAACTGACCGGGAGCAGCCAGGCCGGACGGATAGGGTAGGCTAATCGGCCCAGTCCCAGCGTTTAGCGTAATGGAGTGCTCATCAGAGCCTGTACAGCTCGCCAGAGCCTATCCAGCTCAGAGCTTGTTTCTTCTGCGATGGCATGAGGTGCTGGAATTATCAACCTCCTGGAGTTGCTATAGCTCCTTGTCGCTGCTTAGACGCCACCATGTTTTGGGGCTCGGATCTTGCCATGACGCTCTGCGCCCTGAGCGCAAGAGTAACTGTGATGACCGCGAAATCCGAAACGGTTTCCACAGTTTTTCGGAGTTTGGTAAGACCTTCGAAGAAAGATTATGACGACAATGCCATAAAGACATTATCGGGGAATCCGTAGAAATATTAAAATTTCATTAAACTCAGGTATCATCTTTTACGCCACCCTATCGTAAAGCACATATTGCACAGGATGTAGTTCCAACAATCTGTTTGAAACTCCTACGCATGTATGAAGCCAGCGGCGTGAATATTTTGAGACTAAATCATCATTTTTGTCAGTATTAATGGGTGGGAAACAACATAGAGTATGATGCATATCAGAAACATTTGTCAGCGAGAGCAGCAGCCATGAAAAACCTAATACCACACATCATCATCCCGCCGCCTCGACTGCGTAAAGCACGAAAATCGCTATTCAACCCACTCACGTCCGTCTCCGCGCATAACCGTCCGCTTACACAAGTATGCCATCACAGAACCGCCATCTCTGCGGTATTCGTAACCCATGAGAGACCGGCGGCGCGGAACAATCGGGGCATCGCTCACGACGTCGGCTAACAATACAACAACCACGGCGGAAGTGTTTACGCGATGGCGTCAGGTTCGCACACTCGAGGGCCGCCGCCGCGCGCCGCGCATGCGCTCCCCGGTCCTGGCAGGGTCGCGGCACCGCCGCCGTTCCCATCATTAGCGCGGCGCCACAATCGCGCTGTATCGTCGGTGTGCGTGTTGGAGCGACGACTGTTCCCAGACGCCTTTGGTTGCTGGCGAGACGCGTACCCGTGTTGGCGGTCGCATGACAGCGCAAACCGCCGAGAACGCAGCTGGCTGATACTTTGAAGCCCCTGGTACTGCACTACTACCACTGCAGTTACTGCTATAGCAGCTACAGGTACAAATACAGATACCGATACGTTTAGCAACTATAAATATGCTTGATATGTGCAGCTAGCGACTACTTTGCAAAGCATATCAAGACCTTCCTTGACAAGCACTTACAACTTGCAACGAACGAGAAAACGTCACTGCGGCTTTCTTCAGTAAGTCAAGACAAGACGAAATTCTGTGCGGCTGGGAAATACCTGCAGTGTGCGTCACGACTGACGAGCATGGGAACAGTACCTGGAAATGCGTCAGCGGCTGACGCCGCGCCTGTGAAAATGGGCGGGCACCAGGAGCCAATTTGCAAATTGCTCGTCACCCCAGGAAAGAAACCGTGTGCACCTCCACGCTTGGTTCCTCTCTGTCGCTTGTGCAACACACGCATTCTGCTCCTCAGTTCTCATGCGCTCACCTGAGGCTTGTTTTCTCCCGGAATGTGCGGTTTCTGTTCCACTTTGACGCTCCTTTCCTGGAGGTGGTGCAGGCGCGCTGCAGTCCTCTTGGCACGAAGTCGCGACGGCTTCTGTTCACACTCCATCTTCTTGATCTTCCTCTCCTGAAACAGAACGCCACGGTGTTGGGTGTATCTGAGCATTGCATAATACAACGTTGTGTACAATGGCACAGCCGGTACGCACCGTAAACTGCACGAGTGTGATAGGAGCACGAGTAAACCACTACACCAGCAGGGGCGCAGTCTCGCAAAATATCGTTCGAGGCTGAATAGGAGAAAGTTGTTAAATCTACCCCTAAGGCACAGTAAAAAAGTATATCCAATTTCATTAATTTTCTTCTCAAAACTAGGAAGGCTGCCCTCACCCCCACCGAACAGGAAATTGCACGCCATTACACCTGAAATACGTCAAACGCAAGTTTCAGTCTGCTGCAGGCATTTAAATTCTCTATTGCGACATAACTATTGTCAGGGCGTAACTGCTTCAACTTTTGTTAAGTCCTTGCAGTCCAAAAAGAAAGAAAAAACTAGCCACGCTGCTGCTTCAGCTGTGAATCGTATTTAGAAGCCATCCGCAGCAGCCTGGCTGCTAACGCCCAGCCATCCGGGCACCCGGCCACGCCAGCCGGCGCAAACGGCGGTCGCACAAGCATCTCCGACCTATCCTCCGACCCGTCATCGAACAGTCAGGTGGGCACTCGAAGACGGCCCGGCTGACCGCCGACGCTCAGGGCTTCGCTCTCTGACTCCTGCTGAGCTAGTCAGAGGCGCTTTTCGCACATATTCACTGGCAGCGCCAGATACGACTCTCGGTTTAAAACGATCACGCGCAGGGCTTTCTCCGACTATCTGGGTCAATACGTGCATGCCAGGACAACCTGGTCATGTGGCGCCGCATTTGGCGCAGGAGTTAATGGTATTAGCCAATCTCTCACACATGACGTCAAATATCACGCTGCCAGCTGAGGAAGTCGAACGCCTAGTCCCTCCAAATTCGGAATCCTGGAACGAGGAATGAGCCATAAAGGCCATTGCCGTCAATTACTGGCGCCGTAAGAGCTGGCTGGGCCGGTGAGGGCGGCCGTCAGTTTCACACCGAGCGGCCGCGCCGGCTCGCCAGCCCCGGCTGCGCCGTATCTCCGGCGGCGCGGCGCTCTCTGTGTGCGGCGGCGCTGAGGCCGCGCCACTTTCGGATCGGCTGTGTCGAGGTGTTTGGACGAGGCGATTGCCGCGCAGGAGGGCGGCACGCGGCGCGGCGCGGTGGGGCGCGGGGGCGGCGCGGTGAAGGGGCCGGGCCACGCCATTGTCCGCCGTCGCCTGGGTCAGACCTGGCTGATAAGGCGGCCGGGTCGACACGACCTTCTTCGGGCACACCCCAGCCAACCGTCGCGCGCGCGGCGCCGGTTACAACACGACGGCCGCCGCTGGCGCGCCGCCTCACGAGCTGGTTCGATCGGCTCGCCCGGCCGCCCCCATTCAGGCGCCGCCGACCCCTGAACGATGGACCGGCGCCAGAGAAGCCGCCACAACGGCGCGGCGATCGCCTCCTCTCGATCACGGCTCGTGCCGAGCTGTTCATCGCGTGACTGCGCTTGACCCGGAGACCTCCCGACGCCGTCCGTGAACGCCCGCTGGCCGGATGAAAGGCGGGTCGGCGCAGCGCGGTGACGCACGGCGTCGTAAGCCGGCGGGGTGCGAGGTGCTGACGGCGCGAGCGCCAGTGCCGGCCGCAGAGTGGGTCACCCGACACCGGGCCGACCGGCGGGGAGACACGGCCGTCTCAGCCAGCCGCATGACACGAGCGGCTCTGGCATCAGACCGGCTTCAGAGCGGCGGCACAGCCGTACCGCTACGGCCTGATCAAACCCACTGCATGCAGGCGGATGTCCGGCTGCTGACGCAGAAGTAGTCGTATTGCCTGTGATTCAAATCGGGAGTGCGGCAGCTGTGATTTCTGTGAGCGACATCGGCAGCACAACTGCTGTGTCTGTCAGCAGCATTGGTAGCAAGGCAGCTGCAGTGTCTGGAAGCCACGTTGGCAGCAAGAGAGCCGTGGCGTCTGTGGGCCGGCCACCCACTGGCAGCCCGGTAGCCGTGCTGCTAAAGGCTGTCAGTGTGGCTCACAGGCACCACGGCCACTGAGCTGCCAAAGTGTGGCCTAGACACCACGGCCACCGAGCTGCCAAAGTGTGGCTTACAGACACCTTTGGTGCCACTACTGTAGCCCTCACACCTGCTCCCGATACCACCGAGACAACCAGCGGCAGCCGGCGCTGGGCGGCCAGCACGGCGCTGGGCCTCAGATCACGGTCGTCTCCTGCGTGCGGCGCCGCGTGGAGCGAGCCCCCGTGGCGACAGCGCGCGCCGGCGGGCCCACTCGGACCACTTCACACCGGCGCGCCACGCTCGCCTCCACGCAGACGCTCCAGTTCTGCCATTGAGGCGTGCTAACGGTGTCTGACGCGGCGTGCACCGCGACCGCCGGCTGCTGAGGGCCCGCGGTGGCTTTGTTTGCGGGGGCACTTGAAGTGGCAATTAGCAGCGGTGGGCATTCTGATGAGGGACCGCCTGTTCGGCTCGACTTGTATGGTAATACGGGTCGGTGGGAAACATTGTGGTTCGACCACCCACAACTTTGATCAGATATCTGACATACTGCGCATGCCACTTGCTGAAGCATGATATTGTGTTGGGTTCTATGCGGTCCATGTTACGCCAATGGCTATGCGAAGTTCTGGTAACCCAAGCCGCTACTTACGTGGAGACGCACCCGATTCATCGCAGAGATTGATATGCAGCCCCATCACGTGCGTCACATCTTCACATCCCATTAATCCTTGCAACACAAGTAGAGGATAGCGCACGCCTTCCTCGTTTTTACCGCGCATCCTCCCCCGTCGCTACCTAAATGTGGCACAAGGTCGCTCACACAACTCGGGCTTTAATTTCTACACAATTAATCTCGCATCCGACGCAAGAAGCGCTGATGGGGTCACGGTGTGTCGGCTGGCTTTGTTGCGCCGCGTGACCTCGGTGACCTGTCGCCGGGGTCGGCGGCGCCGCGTCACTCACCAGCAGGCGGCGCTCCCGCGACTGCGACTGAAGCAGCGCCTTGACCGCCGCTTCTAACTCCTCCACTTGCAGGCGAAGTCGGGCCTCACGCTGCGACGCCTCGGTCTTCAGCGTCTGCAAGCGGCAAACAGGCGGGGCGGCCGTGAGCGGTGGCGCGCCGCGCCGCGGCCGTCACGCGGCGCGTCCGACAGCCGGCGAGTTACGTGCGTGCCGCGAGGCGACACTGGCGCGCATGTCCGCCGCCGCGCCGGTGCTGAGCTATGATCCATCGCGGCAGAGGCGCAGCGCAAACACCCGGTTAAAGGCTCGGCACGAAAACAAGGCCGCCGCCACGGCAGGATCAGGTCGCTTGGCGCACGGCCACCGTGGCGGACTCCGCGTTCATCATTGCATCAGTGAGCAGCGGTGCAGCCACGCTCACTGATGCGATGATGAAACGCGTGACAGACGGCGGGAACGAGACTGCGGCATCTGGACACGACGTCAGACAGCGTGGCAACGAGACAGCGCACGCCAGTGACATAGAGTTAGCTCACGGGATAGGAGCCGCAAATGCAGAAAGCTGGCGGAAATGAGAATGCAGAGGTCAGTTAAGTTGGCGTGGAGCAGGGTAGCGGGGATGAGACAACAGGTGTCGGCGACATAAGGCAGCATAGGGAGGTGGATGTGATGGCACAAGGCAGGACGACGGAGCTTTCATAAGACGGTAGCACCAGCGACATTATCGCCGAGTAAGTCCTACACTGCGCAGCATCCGGGGAGGGTCACATCTCCAGTGAGCAATGATACACCAGGCAGACCTCCAGAACGAGGACTAAATGGTTCTTTGCGTCAGAGTTGCGGAGGAGAGACTCTCCAGATACGACTGCCATCCAATATGACCGTCTGTCACATGAGGGTT